GGGCCTTAATAGCCCGCAAGCCGTTCCTGAAGACCCCCCCCCCAAGCTCCCAAAATACGGGACGGCTTAAGGTGCTCACCATTTCCGCTGCCCTATCTCTGCCCAAAATGACCAACATGGAGATTAAAACCTCTTTGACTGAATTAAGGTAACCACTAAATCACAGTGCTGCTCATTAACGGAATGCTCCCTTACAACATTCAGTTTTTGCAGGGTACAGCCCGCAACCTCAAAGGGAGATATTGAGGTTTGTTTATTTGTTTGTTCTAGGGTCAAACTGAAACTTTGTATTTCCCAACCAATATACAGTTAATGTATTAAATGAAACTTTTATTTAAAAATAGCCTGATAAACAGTAGATAAAACAAAACATTATTAAATAGAAACACAGAACACTGGCATACCCCGTAGAAATCAATCTATATGTCACTAATATTCTACCTAAATTTACTTTAAGGAAAAAGTTAAATTTCAAAGCATACCCAAAGCTTTGCCAAAAAGGAGGAAAGCAGATTTCACTGGATTCCAGATCTGAGAGATTCAGAGGTTACAGGATGCGGCCAGTTTGTACAGAAACTATTGCATAGGCCAACACATAACTCTAAAGACATGATCTAAGGCACCTCTGAGCACCCCAAAGAATAATAGCTGTAAACTCTCTTCCATTAGTTCTTGAATTTATTTTGGTTATAAAGACATTTATTCATAAGTTATCTATCAATACTGAAAACTGTAAATTAGCTAGAACAGTGGGGGAAAGTGTGTTTGCAGATTTACACAAGCACCTAAAAGCAAACGCTCAGGCCTGCTGTGTAAAATATCCTAAAGAGTGACTTAATTTTATTTATTTATTTATTAGACTTTTACCCCACCCTCCCACCTAGGCGGGAGTTTTTTTAAAAAAATTATTTTATTATTTTTTTATTAGTTATTAGTTATATTTATATCCTGCCCTCCCCTCAGATGGGCTCAGTGCAGCTCACATTTGCTGGCATAATATAGCCGGTTAGCATAAAAATTTTATTATACTTCTATCCTGCCCTGCCCTGCAAGCGGCCTCGGGGTAGGTTACAACCAATTAAAAAAGTTAAAATACAGACCCAATAAATCAAGTAAAATCACAACACAATACCAGGACAGCAAATATTTAACAATATGGTCCTAATTTTCTGCTATATTTGCCTTTTTTATTGCAGTCGCACACTGAATTGACACTTTCAGTGAGTTATATACCACAACTCCAAGACCTTTCTCCTGGTCAGTGACTATCAGTTCAGACCCCATCAACATATATTTATAGTTAGGACTTTTGGCTGCAATTTGCATTACTTTGCACTTACCCATGTTGAACCTCATTTGCCATGTTGACGTTCGTCACTTGCCCAGCCTCTACAAATCCCTCTGGGATGCCACACAGTCCTGTCATCTGCAAACTTAGCCACTTCACTGCTTATTCCCAACTCTAAATCATTCGTGAATAAGTTAAAAAAAAAACACCAGACATAGTACCGAGCCCTGTACTACCTCACTACTTACCACCTTCCACTGTGAAAACTGCCCATTTATACACTTTCTGTTTCCTATGAATTAACCAGTTTTTAATCCACAAGAGGACTCGTCCTCTTAACCCATGACTGCTGAGTTTACTTAGGAGCCTTTGATGAGGAGCTTTATCAAAAGCTTTCTGGAAGTCTGGACAAACAACATCTACTAGGTCACATGTCCATATGTTTCTTCATGCCCTCAAAAATTCTAAAAGGTTAGTGAATCCATGCTGATTCTTTCTCAATAGCTTTTGTTCATCAATGTGCCTACTAATTCTATATTTAATAACAGATTACACCGACTTACTCTGTTTCAGTGTTTGACTGACTGGCCTGTAATTTCCCGGATCTCTCTGGAACCTTCTTTTGAAGATGGGGGTTACATTGCCTATCTTCCAGTCTTTGGGACTGGAGGAAGGTTTTAGAGATAGATTGCATATTTTTGTCAGGAGACTCGCAAGTTCACATTAGAGTTCTTTCAGAACTCTTTGTGAGAATTAGCTTAAATTTTTAGATTTAGTTTAAAATTGGACCCCCCCCTTTTTTTAAAGCCCCAGCTGTATTTAAACCCTAGCTGCAGTTTGTCTTATTTGTTTCCCTTTTTCTATTACGAAAACCTGCCTAAGGTTTAGGCTTATCTGTGAGCTCACTAATCCTTCTGTTTAGAACTAAAATTAACTACACCTCTGTAGTCTGAGCAGCTAAAACTGAAGTGAAATTAGAACTAGACCAGAAAATTAGACTGGTTTTCTTCTACTAATTTATTTGAAGAAAATTTTATTGTTGGTCTTTATGTTTTTTGCAATATGCTCCCCTTAGTCCCTTTTTGCTTGTCTGATCACTAACTTGCATTTTATTTGGCAAAGCCTGCATGGCTAACTGGAAGCAGTAAAGGTTAGTTCAAGTGAGGTAAATAAAAGGGAGCACAGACTTTGGCATTTATTTACTTGCCATATGATAAATAAATGCCAAATCCCCCAGCCTCTGCTTACATTCTGCCTTCATAATTGCTCTTTTAAAAAATCCCTTTTTAAAATAAAATCCCTATTTACATAGATCTGTTTGTGCAAAGTGTTCATACTTTTTTAGGGACATGGAAAGACTGGTGTAGGGA